GAGCTGCACTCTCTTGACTTCAGCACTGCTTTCTTGCAGGGCAGCCTGCACGAGGAGATCTGGCTGCGTCGCCCACCTGGCTTCACTGGGTCTTTTCCTCCTGGCACCCAGTGGAGCCTCCGGCGGCCAGTCTACGGTCTCCGCCAGGCACCGCGTGAGTGGCACGACACACTGAGGACTACACTTGCGGCTCTTGGGTTTGCTCCCTCTACTGCCGACCCGTCGCTGTTTCTGCGCACCGACACTTCTTTGCCGCCGTTCTACATCCTCGTGTACGTCGACGACTTGGTCTTTGCCACAGCTGACACTGCTGGACTCGCCCACGTGAAGTCCGAGCTGCAGAAGAGACACACGTGCACAGACCTGGGTGAACTGCGCAGCTACCTTGGCTTGCAGATCACCCAGGACAGAGCACGCCGCACCATTACCCTGACTCAGTCACACATGGTGCAGCAGGTCCTTCAGCGCTTCGGCTTCACGTACTCCTCGCCTCAGGCCACTTCTCTGCCTACTCGCCACTCGCTCTCAGCTCTGCCTTCGGATGAGTCCGTAGAGTCGAGTGGCCCGTACCCAGAGCTTGTTGGCTGCCTCATGTACCTGATGACCTGCACACGACCTGACCTCGCATACCCTCTTAGCATTCTCGCACGCTATGTTGCTCCTGGGAGACACAGACCGGAGCACATGGCTGCAGCGAAGAGGGTGTTGCGTTACTTGTGCAGTACGTCGGGCATGGGGCTTGTGCTTGGAGGGCAGAGTCCAGTGGTCCTCACTGGGCACGCAGACGCTTCTTGGGCTGACGACCAGGCTACGCAGCGGTCGTCACAGGGTTACACCTTCAGCCTTGGTTCCGGCTCTGTTTCGTGGCGGGCTACCCGCTCGTCTTCTGTTCTCGGCTCCAGTTGTGAGGCTGAGATCTACGCCGGGGCCATGGCTGCACAGGAGCTTCGCTGGCTCACCTACCTGCTGACTGACCTCGGAGAGCCGCCTCGTTCTCCTCCAGTGCTGTACGTAGACAACAAGGCCATGCTGGCCTTGTGTCGAGAGCAGAGACTGGAGCACAGAACGAAGCACATTGCTCTCCGCTACTTCCTTGCTCGTGAGCTACAGCAGCGTGGTCAGCTGCGGCTTGCGTACGTGGCCTCTCAGGCCAACACTGCTGATATCTTCACCAAGGCACTTGCGCCTTGTGATCATCAGCGTTTCTGTACTCAGCTGGGCCTTGTGCCTACCTTGCCTCACTTGCTCACCCCTTGACCTTGTTTGTACTGTTGCATATATATATACACCTGCTCTTGCTTGTCTAGCCTTATATATATATGTAATCCTGCATGTGAACTGGCCTTGTGGCCTTGAACCAGTGCTCGGAATGTGTGGTGACTTTGTGATCCACCCTGAGCTTGCTTTGCTTTGCTTGACTGGTCTTGTGACCCCTTGTTCTCCCCCACTTTGCCTATGGGGGTGTGTCAGATTTATATGACAGAGCTACTGTAGGCTATAGTGGGGTAGCACATATGGGGTACAGTTTTCTAGGGTTTGCATTTTGTACCCAACTTTCCCTTAGTCATTCTCATTTTTTCCTCGTTTCTTCTCATTAGTTTGAAAGTTCGAGCAGATGGTGACGAGGCGGCCTGTGATTGCTTGATCGGGTCAAATACGATCGCAGCGCGATCTGTTTTTAACACAATTTCAAACCTGGCGCGTGGCATGAGCTAAGTAGGAATGTCCGACAGCTACGTGCCACATGGGCACAGCACTATGTCGAAGCGAGTAACGGGGCATCATCATGTTGAAGCTGCTCGCGCTCGAACATTGCCGAACGGGGTTTTAATTGTTTTATATCCTATGAATATACGTTTTGGTTAAGCAGCACATACATGGACCATGGACGTGAAAGACGTGAAATCTGCACAAACGTGATCAACAACGCACCAAAAAGTACTCACCCTTTAAAGATCTCCTAAAAAACGCACCGCGATCAACAACTGTGTTGTGTCCAGACTTTTCACGCGGTTTTTAACTTGAAATGAACAAAACCAAACAAATTATGACATGACACGTGGCCTACAATCACACATAGAGCACATGCATACAAACAAATTGCACGATGAATGCGGTCGCGCTTGACGTGTCGGACGCAAGTGCACGCACATGGCAGCGTGTTCAGCACGACGGTTTACAACCGAGGCGCCCGACACAGCGAACACTTGAAATCTGCGCGACACTAGAGTTAAACAACCTCATTGTCAGAACTTATATTTGTAACTGCCTGTAGCTGTAGTTAGTGTAGTTATTATAAACTTTGTTTGGTGGTGCACCTTATTTGTTTCCTTTGCTATATGTTCTTCGAAACCTATAGTGAAACCATCCTTTCCAACTTCCTCGACATCTCACCCTAGGCACAAACTACTCGACATCCTAGTTGGGCCTAGGCTCCTAAGCCTAGGCCCTAGTTAAACTTGATCTCCTTCCTACGATTCTGTCATGCTATCAGAGCGTTTTACGTCCTGGCCTGTGGGCCCGCCAATATGCTTCCGCTGCTATTTTTCTCGGTCGCGCGCCTAGGGCGCGTGGCGATTTTCTCTTGTCCCGCCCCCGGTTGGCGAGTGACTCCTTCTCTGCCCGTCGCGCGCCCCGTGGCACGCGACGGTGCCCTAAACCTGCCCGTCGCGCGCCCCGTGGCACGCGACGGTGCCCTGCTCGTCGTGCGCCCCGAGGCACACGACCGGGCCCTAAACTTAAACTTGCCCGTCGTGCGCCCCGTGGCACGCGACGGGCCCTCTCCGCACCTGCTCTCCCTGCAGCCGCCCCTGACCTACCTGCGCCGACACAATGTAGCCGCTCTGCGGCTTTCTTCCCGCCCACCCCCTCCTCCTTTGTTTCCCTGCAGCCGTGGGGAGGAGGGTATGGGGGTGGCGGGTGTTGGAGCTTTGGGTCGTTTCCTTCCCTTCCCCTCCTCCTCCTTTCGTTCCCACTGCTGCAGCTGCCGCTGGGGGGGAGGGTGTGAGGGTGTGGGGGAGAAGGGGGAGTGGCACCGGGGTGGCGGGTGTGAGGCAACCAGCAGCCGTCCCTCCACCTCTCCTCTCTTCCCCCCCCTCTCTGCTGCTCCTGCAGCAGTGTGGGGGAGGGGAAGGAGGAGGGTGAGGAGATGGAGGGGGTGACCAGCTAGTGTTAGCCCGCCTGCAGTACCTGCTGTTGCTTGTTTATTATTTTGCATGTGTACCCCTGCAGGTTGTATTCTGCACAAACTCCTGATGCAGTCAGTTATGGGGGAGTGTCAGAACTTATATTTGTAACTGCCTGTAGCTGTAGTTAGTGTAGTTATTATAAACTTTGTTTGGTGGTGCACCTTATTTGTTTCCTTTGCTATATGTTCTTCGAAACCTATAGTGAAACCATCCTTTCCAACTTCCTCGACATCTCACCCTAGGCACAAACTACTCGACATCCTAGTTGGGCCTAGGCTCCTAAGCCTAGGCCCTAGTTAAACTTGATCTCCTTCCTACGATTCTGTCACTCATAACCAATCGTCTCGTGACACGCGTTGACTGAATTGAGACACGTAAAATTTCTCATATCGCGACAGTCTGATTCGGTGAACCGAAGCAAACTGTCGTACCTGTTCGCGCTCAAACCTCGCCGAACCAGCATTCCACACTGTCGGGAACGCAATGACCGATCGGTGAGCCCTGCGTGACAGGGAGGTTCCACGTCAAACCATAAACTGCCCACCGACAAAATGTCAACCCAGAAAAACAACCATACAAGTGTTAATATAATTCAAATTAACGAGAGCACGGAAAACAGGTTATGAAAGGTGGAGGGATCGCCTTTCGGGTTTTCAAAAAAATGAAGCGCGGTATAGAAATTTCACGGAGCCAAAGCCCGTGCCGCGGTAATTCGCTCCTCCCGAATGGCATGCAGGTCGCGATGGGGAATATTTTTTTTCCCCGGGCAGCTCTCTTCCGCCCGTGGTCGCGCCCGGTGGGTTCGAAACCACCCCGACCTCATTCCCTTCCCCACACCCCCCAGCTGCCAGCCTCTCATGCCCCCTCGAGCCTCCACTGCGGGGCAATGGTGCGGTGTGCAATCCCCGCAGAAGCGGGGGGGCAGGGATTGGATCGGTGGAGCGTGACAGGCTCCGCGGATGCAGGTTCAGCCGCACCAGAACAACTCCGTGGTACTGTACATACACCTGCCCCTGTGCAGCCCCCTACTCGTCCTTTCCGCCGCATCCCACCCATCCCCAACAGGGATTCCCCTCCATCCCCTCCCCTTGCCATCCATGATTTATCCCCGCCCGCCCACCCAACGACATTCCCCTGTTACCCCCGATTGGCTGCACCGGCAGTGCCTTGTAACAATCACATCACAGACCGGCCCTCCCTCTGCGAGCCACAGCCACACCACCACGCCCCGCTGTGCGCGTGCTGTAACAAACTACTACGCCCCTCCCCTCCAGCAGTGTCTCGCCTTCCCCCCCCCCTGACTGCAAAACGGCCCTCGCATGTACCTCCCCCTACAATGCCTACACCAGCACGATACCTCCCTCCCTTGACTAACCAAGGCACACTGTAACTAACAAACCCCCAAGTCAACTTCCACCAAGTTAATTTGCGACTTAGCACTTCCTTGACCACTGCGTATTTGAGCTCAGATTGCATCCAGGATTTAGAGGCGCCCGTGCAGATCATCTTGAGATCATCCTATTTCATTGTAGTACGTTGTCAGTCTGACTTCTCTGGTAGCGGCGCGTTCTCTCTCTCTATTCAACCCTCTAACCACGGATCCCCACTAGAGATATAATATGCTGTAATCTGCTGCATGTTGTCCCTGGCTTTAAGAACGAGCCGTTGCACGATGGCCGGGTTCCGCTAGCTTTAAAATCGGCACGCTATCGTCGCTGCGCGCATCTCTGTCTGCTGAGTTGATAGGGGCACGTGCAATCACTCCGCGACTCCGCCTTTTTTCCGCTTCCAAACTCGTTTCTCAGCTGGACAATGAGCGACAGCCAGCAACCCACGCTTCCAGTGCCCGCAGCTGACGTGGCGCGTCCGTCACGTGGCATTCAGGATGCTGCTGTGCTCGCGAGCCCCGCCACAGCAGCTGCAAGCCACAGCGACACGGGGAGGCAGGGGAGCGGCGGATCTTCCTCGTGTGGCGCCGCAGCAGCAGCAGCGGGTTCGGATAAGAGCAGGGCGTCGAATCTAGCGGGCGCCACGGCATCTGAGCATTTTAGTAGAAGCAGCACGAGAAGCGCGCACGCGGATCAGCGGCCGCTCGCCGCTGCTGCTGCGCCGTGCGACGCGGAGCCCAATGCTAGTACCACTGGGCAGCAGCGCGCCGAGCTCGCGAGCCAGATTGACCTGGGATCGCCGCAAAGCACCAATTGCGGCGGCAGCGCATCGACGGCGAGCGCGGGTGCTGGCTCCAGGAGGAACTGTGTGGCGCAAGAGGTGGAAACAGGCAGCGGCGCGGCTTGTATCTGCCGCGCCAGTCGTCGTCGGCGGAAGTGCGCCCTTCCGCTTACATCCGCGGACGAGGTAAGGCGGTCATTAGCAGGGCGGAGTTGAGAGGGCTCGTAGGGCGGAGCGCGAGAAAAGGGCGGAAGCGGAGGGGGTGCTTGGCTCATTCTTTCCGTACACTGCGGGTTTTCAATCCCTCGTCTCCGTGTCCCCCGTCTCACTTGCATGCCCCCCTTTGTCCCCATCTCTTCCGCCGTTCCCCCATGCTGCGCGCGCGCGGCAGGTGACGGGGTCCGACTATTGCTACGCCAGCCACGTGGGATTCTTCGACGCGCCCCCCTCGTGCGTCTGCGCGAGCGCGGATTCCGCGGGCGGAATCGAGCGCGCGCAGCGGTGGGAGCGGTGGATGGACGGCGCGAGCCTCGTGGCGCACATCACGCCGTTCGCCATCGTCGGGGTGCGTGTCACCCCCCGCGCGCGCGCACTCTCCCCAACCGCTCCCTCCCGCATCAACTCCCACCACGCATCCACGCCCCTGCGAAACTCTTCCGTTCCCCCTCTAATCCCCTTCAGCCCTACCCTGTATCCTTCCTCCCGCTCCCCCCGCTCCCCTCCGCGCGCGCAGGTGTGCATTCAGTTTCTATTGGACGAGCTATTCGGGCCGAACGTGGCGCACGTGACGGACGACGCGCTGACGGTCTTCGTCGACCTGCCGGCCAACATGCTCGGCGCGTTCCTGCTCGGCCTCTCCGCCGTCGCGCTCCTCCCCGCGCTGCTCGCGCGCTCACGCCACCTCGCCATCGCTGTCGTCGTCGGGCTGTGCGGCAGCATATCAACGTTCGCCACGTGGAACCAGCGCATGGTCTCCATCGCCACCGCGGGGCTGTGGGCGCGCGCCGCCTTCGGGTACTTCACCGGCTCCGCGCTCCCCCTCGTCGCGCTCGTCGCGGGCGTCGACGCGGGGACGGCCATCCGCCAGTCCTCCGCCTTCGCGGGCGCCCCCCACGCGTCCTCCCTCCTGCCCTCCACGCTTCCAAGCACAAAGGTCCCCGCGCCTGCTCCGCCAACGGTTCCCCCACACCATCGCCGCCACATGCTCCCCATGCTGCTGCTCTCCGCCGCCTTGCTGCTGCTGGCGGGAATCTGCGCGCTGCTGCTCCCCCCCACCGCGCACAAGTGGCGCATGCTGGCTTGCGCCTGCCTCCTCGCCCCCCTGGGCACGCACCTCCGCTTCCTCCTCCTGTGCTTCAACCGGGGTCCTTTCCCCCTCCGCCTCCCCTTTCTCCCCTGCGCCCGCTCCTCCCATTCCGCGTCGGAAACGGCCCTGCTGCCGGAGGACGGTGCGGGCGCGGGCGCGTGGGAGTGGATGCCGTGGGGCACGTGGATGGCGAACGTGGGGGCGGCGGCAGTGGAAGCCGCCATCTCCATCCTCTTCCTCAAGGTGCGCCCCTCCCGCCCCTCCCTTGCACACCCCTCTGTCTGTCCTCGTCATTCCCCCTCCCGCACCACTCCCTCACTCCCTCCCTCTATCCCCCTTCTCCCACCGAGCTGCCCCACCCACCTCTGCACCCCTCCCCACATCATCCACACCACTCTTGCCACCCCCTCACTCTCCCCATCCTCGTCCTCCTTCGCTCCCCTGCCTTCCCCGTCTCCACCCCTCTTCAGTACCAGAGCACGACAAGCGAGGTGGCAGTGGGGGCGATGCAGCTGGGCTTTCTGGCGTGTCTCAGCACCGTGTCAATGCCGTCCCTAGAGGCCCTCTACCTGCATTACACGCTGCGCTCGCCAGCCAAGGCCTACGCCTATGCGCTGCTCACCATCCTGCCCTCCTTTGCCCTCGGCCTGCTACTCTACTCGCTGCCCTGCTGGCTCAACGGCTATGACTCCCTCTACAATCACGTCGGCACCTCCCTGTAACCAGCCCCCGGCCCTGAGCCTTCGCTCTAGCGCGTAGCATGCGACATCTGGCGTGTAGGTGCACTGCAGGGTGGCAGCACACGTGCTGCATGATACGGTACAAGGGCAGGAGGGGGAGGACACACACATGCAAAGCAAAGGCTTCATCATCCTGCTGAGTATATCACTACCTGCTGCTAAAAGCTGCAGATTAGTTTATACCGTAGCTTGTAATAAATTGCTACTATAGTGCACTGTGAAAGCCAACTGGACTAGATCCATAGGTGCGCAAAACCTGGGACTCACTTGACATGATGTGAAGCATAAGTGGACATAGAAACCAGTGTGCTTGATGTGCTGCTGTCAGTATAGTGGGTAACCAGTATAAGATACAAGTGCCATGGGCTGGCTATTTGGGGCTCCTTATACTGTACTACACATGTTCTAGCCGGGCCTCAAGCACACATGCTCTAACCGGGCCTCTAGCTACGGTATCATAGGTGACTGCTGATTGCATTTATTGTGTAAATGCAATATGAACCTACCTGTATGTGCCTTACATGCAGACTACGTACAAAGAACCATTTGAGAGAGAGTCTTGATTGGTGAACCAAATCCGTAAGGAGCCAGGAGGAAGTGTGGCTGTGCGACATGCTGTGGGCAGCACATGCTGCAACATAGCACTCATGATTCGCCAACAGGTTGACACATGTTGCAAAAATGCACCATTCCCGGCCCTCCACTTATTATTATTGCATTGACCCACCCGCCTGGCTCACTGAGCTGCCTGGCCCCACCCCTCCTGCTGCTGCATCTGCACCCCCCTGCCGGCCCGCTCTCCCTCTCACAGCCAGATCTGGGGCCCTCACCACAGTGGCTCGCACGTTGTACTTGTCCGTGCGAATGTACTCACTCACTCCCTCCCTCACTCCCTCCCTCACTCCCTCTCCCCTTCTCTCTCTCGCTGCCTCCTCCGCTTTCCAAGCTGCCATCCCACCCGCCCACACACCTCGTGACTGGGTGCTGGCCCCTGAACTACTACCACCACCACCACCTGTACCAGCAGCAGCAGCAGCACCAGCTCCAGTGGAAGCAGCAGCAGCGGCAGCAGCCCCATGGTCTTGTGCTCCGGCACCCTCGCTGCGACCCCCCTCTGCCACCATCTGGCTTCGTCCAAACGTCTTCCCCCTTGCCTCCACCCCCTTGGCTCTTCCCCCTACCTCTAATGCCCCCTCTGTGCCAACCGCACCGGCACCACCAGCGGCACCACCAGCGGGGGTGGGTGCGGGTGCGTGGGAGTGCGGCAGGGCTGGCAAGGCTGGGGGAGGCGCGGGTGGCGGGGGGGGCAGCAGCTCCTTGGAGCGGCGGTCGGTGGCAGCGTTGGCATCCGCCATGCTCATGTACCCGCTCCGCCCCGCACCCACGCTGCCCCCCGATCTCTCATGTGCCCCCCCTCCTCCTCCTCCCGCACCCCCTCCTCTTCCCCTTAGCCTCCCCTCACCTTTCCCCCCTTTGGCCGGCCCCCTGGGCCGTTCAGGCAGCATGCCGGCGCCCCTGCTGCGCCGCAGCACCGCCAACACTGCCGCCATCCATCCCCCCGCCGCGCCCTTTCCCCCATCGCCGCCCGCCCCCTCCGCCGCCCCCTTCCTACCCGCACCACCCGGCAGCCTCTCACTGGACGCGCACAGGCTGTCCACGTCAGACGCCACGTCAGCGTCGCGGCCCAGAAGGCGGTCCCAGCAGTGGGCGAGGCGGTAGAAGGTGGGGAAGAAGTGGAGCTCAAGGGCCGTGGTGAGGAGCAGCGCAAAGATGAGCCACGCCGCTAGCAGCACGGTGTAGAATAGTGGGGCTGCTGAGATGAAAAGGCCAACGAGTAGCTGCGCCTGCCCCAGCAGCAGTGCCACCGCGCCTCCCACAGCGTGCACGCGCCGCCAGCATGGCCGCCACTTGCTGTCCTCATGCGGCCGCCACACCAGCGCTGACAGCTGCACGTGGGGGGGAGGAGCAGAGGAGAGAGGGGGAAAGAGTGAGGAACGGTGGAACTAAGGGAGCGAGGGAGGGATATGAGGAGGCGGCTAGAAGGAGAGGGGCGGAAGCGGATTCAGACAACTGGGAGCAGCAGAGAGGGATGTGGCCTCGTGCCCACCAGCACAGCAGCGCACAGCGGCACAGAACAACACACAGAGGCAGTGCCCCCTCACGCACCTGTAGCGCTGCGATGACCATGAGCGTGATGCCCATGGCGGTATGTGCCACCACGCACGCCCCTCGTGACGCCTTGTCAGCACGGCCCTCGATGGCGCCGTGCGGCATAGTGAGCGCCATGGTGAATGCCACGGTGGCCAGCGAGGCGGCGGCGAGGTGCAGCGCCTGGTGTACGGGGAACCAGCGCGCATACACCTGGCGCAGGTAGCGCGCTGCCATGACGCCCAGAGGCATCAGGAACGCCCACGCCACCGTGCTGATTATGCCGTGGATCTGATGCAAGCGGGGAAGTGGGAGGGGGGAAATTGGGACGAGGAGACATGGGGATCACGTGATGGCTCGAGGTGAGGGAAAGCAGCGTGCAGGGCGAGCAGCAGGCAAGGAGCCTGGCCTGCAGGGAGCAGAAGAGGAAGCCGATTTGGGAGCAAGGGGGGGTGGGGAGATGAAATGTAGAAAGGGGAGCAGGGAGGGCGGGGAAGAGCAGAAGAGTGAGCGCGCACCTTCCAGAGGCGGATGGTGTCGTTGGAGTCGTCTTTCGGCTCGCCGCGTTCAAAGCTGATGGCTGACGTCATCAGCGCGTCCAGCCCATCCAGCGACAGCACCCCCCCCGTCTCATTGGCCGCAGCGGCGGCGGGCAGTGAGAGCTGCGCGCGCTGCCCCTTGGTCCACACGAGGTACGCGGCGGCCGTCTGATTGGGCAGCAGCAGCAGCGAGAAGAGCAGCGTCAGCGCGCCGTTCCTCGCCTGCCCCACGCTGCTCACCACCGTCAGATCGCCCCCCGCCACCGCCTCCACCCCCACGCCCCGCGCACCCGCGCGCACCACCACCTGCCCCACCTCCACCTCCGCCCCGCCCGCTGCTCCCCCCGCGCCCGCGGCCTTCCCGGCGCTCCCACCTCGCGCCGCCTGCGCGTACGAGACAACGAGCAGGCTGGAGTTGGCGACGGCGCCGGACGGCGAGAGGCCCACGGCGGCGTACCCGCCGTCGGGCACGGCCTGCGCGACGAACGCGGCGCGCAGTGTGATGCCCGCGAGCGACCACATGAGCAGGAAGCCCCCGGGCAGCGCGTCGCACGCGTCGAACGCGTACACCTGCCCGCCCACCGCCGTGCTGCACTCGCGCAGCCCCGGCATCCCCGCCACGCCCCCCGCCGCGTCCGCGCCAGGCGGGGGCGGGGCAGCGGCGCCGGGCGGAGGCGGAGGCGCGTACGGGGGGAGCGGGGGGTGGTACTCGGGCTTGGTGCCCCAGAGCGGGGAGCAGGTGCGGATGGGCGCGGGCGGCGCGAAGGGGATGCGCGTGCCGCCGGAGAAGTAGCCGAGCGCGGGGTCGTGGAAGAGCAGCGTGGGCGCGGCGGCGGTGGACGCGGGGGCGAGCGGGCCCGCGGCGAAGACGACCCACCAGAGCGCGGAGAGGCCCGGCGCGCGCAGCAGGTTGGCGTCGAACCGGTCGTCCGCCGTCGCCGCGGGCTTGGTGAAGCGGATGAAGGTGACGTCAGCGCGGCGCGAGGCGGAGACGAGGGTGACGTCGTTGAGGGACGTGGGGGAGGAGCCCAGCAGCGCGTCCTGCGCCGGGGGGGGGAGGGGCGGATGGTGGCGGGATGAAACGGAGGAATGCAGCGGGGAAGGGGAAGGGGAGAGTAGTGTCGTGAGGGAGAGATGAAGGAGTAACGTGAGCGAATGGAGGGGGGGGCGAGATGGGGAGGGAGATGATGGACCCACGTGACACACGCGAGAGGGGGCTTTGTGACACCCAGTGCTGATGAACCGCCACTCGCACACGCCCACACGCACCTCGCACACGCCGACGAAGCCGCCCGCGACCTGCTGGCACGTCTGCTTGGCGGTGACGTGGTAGTCGCGCGCAAAGACCCCTCCGCCGTCCGCCAGCACGCCGCCCACCGTCACGTCGCTCTGCAGCATGGCGAAGCGCGTCTGGTTGCGCGACACGCCCACCGCCACCCACGACCCCTCGCCCACGCGCGCCTCCATCCCTATCTCCACTACCGGCCCCTTCCCCCCGCCGCCGCCGCCGGCGCCTCTGCCAGCGGTGCTGCCGTCGGGCGCGGTCGAGGACCCGGTGACTGCGGAGACGTCTTGCGGCGGTCCCGCGGCACCTGCGTCCGCGTCGCCGTGATGCACGGTCCAGTATCTGCCGCCGCCGACACCACATTACCGCCACCCGCCGTCCACATCCGCACACACACAGAAACAAGGGGGAAGGGGAGGGGGCGGGGTAGGAAGGGCGGAGGGAGGTGTGTGATGAGTGAAAAAGGCTGGGGGGACCGGCGCAATGCTTTCGCCCCTCCGCCTTTTTCTCCCTCCGCCGCCTACCCATTCTTCCTCCCCGCCTCCGTTCCCGTCACTCACATGTTCAGCCGCCCCGGCACCGCCTCCACGCAGTTGGTCAGCCCGACGGACGGCCCGCTGCTGCCCGGCGCAGGCGGTTTGGGGGGCGGAGGGGGCGGGCGAGCGGGGTGCGAAGGCAAGAGCAGGCGCTGCTCCCTCGCGGCCGCCCCCACCGTCTTCCGCACCCACCGCACGGTCTTGCCGTGCGGGCCCGCGTGGTCCCGCTCGCCGACCGCGAACTGCGCGTAGATCCGCGTGATTCCCGCGGAGGCGGACCCCGCGCAAAGGTAGAGCACCTGCGCCTCGTCCCAGGTGAGCCCGCCCGCCTGCAGGAACACCGCCATCAGCGACGTCGCCGTGAGGTTGAATGCGGTGCTAGCCGGTGCGAAGGCGGAGGCGGCGGAGGCAGGGAAGGAGGAGGCGGCGTAGGGATCAACGGGCGCGGCGTGCGAGTAGGGGTCGACGTCCTTGGGCCCCGCCCAGATGGACAGCGGCGCGTCCACGGCCGCGCTGATGCTGCGGGTGGGGCGTGGGGAAGGGAGTGGACGGGTGGCGGGGAGAAGGGATTAAGAGGAGGGGATGGGTGGAGGTGAGAGTCGAGAGAGGAGCGATGGTCGCTAGTGTGGGATTACGGAGTTACGCGCGGATGGTGAGGGATCAAGGGCGAAAGTTGGGAGCGCCCTGGTTGCGGTGAGCTGGAGTTGCGATGAGTGGAAGAGCGGTGGGTGCGGGGAGCGGAAGAGAGGCACCTGAGATCTGAGAGCGCGAAGTAGCAGTCATCGTAAACGGTCACTCGCCCCGATATCGCTTGTCCTTTACGCGATGCCGCCTCTCCCTTGTACGGCTCTAATGCGCCTTGCACGCCGACCGCGGAGAAGTTACCCGACGTGCCGCACGGGGTGTAGGGTCCGGCGGAGTAAAAAAGTACATCGTAATTTTCGGTCGCCGATGAGCGCGTTACCGAATGAGAAGACAACGCGAACACGAGAACGGTGAGGGCTGTCAAGCTGAAGCGTTGCTGTGCCATAAGGACCTGCTTGGTTGCGCGTCGAACGAAGAGTTACGGCGCTGAACGCATCGACTTGGCAAAGGTTGCGAGGTCTGACTCGCGTATGCTACATAAATTATCGTGGAGAAACATCAAGACTGGATACGACTTAGCTCTCTAGCTTATTTCATAATGAATAGTTAGCCCAGCTCCCTGACACGCCATGACTACTAAACAATAGTCAGATGCTTTCCCTACAGCTACGGGATTGCCGCGTTGAGCTTGCAACATTTCAGGGTTCTTGTGAACAAGGAGAATGTCGGCAAGGCATTTTGTCCATCACGCCCGTGTCGCATTGTTTTCCTTGGGATCTCATCCTGCTGGCGAATGGGGTTGTGGCGGGAAAGCTGACACTCTGACATCATGCCATTATGCGATACTGAATACTGCGATTGCAAGCTAGAACCTACACCTTTTTAGCACTCGCAATTGCGTTATGCGTCACATTTGTTACCAACGTGAGATTGTCATTATGTATTTTCCGTGCGAGTCAGAACGGGCAGCTCTCGTTTCGCGGTGGCGGTAGGGAGGGGCATCAGGTGAAGGTACAACCTCTAGGGTTTCGCTGGGTTCGTTCGGCCGCCACCTGATTGGCCGGCGCTTACTGGCAGCGCAAGACCCCCACAACACCCCCCCCACATCCGATACTGTAGCATCACCCGCACTGGTTGCTCCCTCGCCCGCCGCACATCCCCCTCCCCCCTCCCTCCTCCCTTCACCTCACATCAAAAGCCAAAACTGTTTCCTTCCGCGCGCAGCAAATCTGCCTCCCCGCAACTGCGCCTTCCCACGTCACTTTCTTTTTCCGCCCCCCTCTGCCGATCCCCCTCTTCCGCTTCCCCCTAGGCGAGCCTGCAACCCAAGCGAACCCCATTTTCTCCTGCAAGCGTCCGCCCTCCGCCCGCCTCGCCTGGGCTGTCTGCTCCGCGGCATGCCGCGGGTTGCCGCTTGCTCCACCTACACCCGACCAGGCCTGTCGATTGACGGGCATATGCCCTTAATGCCCTGAACATTCCGGGCTACTTTCGCTCCAGCTCGACTGCATAAAGTGTTAGGATCGCCCTACACCCGTGCCACTAAGTGCTTCGTTCGACCCTTCCCCGGATGCGTTAAGTGCTCCAACCAGGCCTTCCCCACCCACAAAGTCTTGATTTCCGGTTCTAGGACCCTCCACCCCCAAGAAATTCTGCCTGACCCCCCACTCCCCCCCCCTTTCTCCTTAGGTTGCACGAGAGTGTGCCAAGGGGATTTTTCCCTTAGCGGTTTCTAGCCAATCCCGTGTTTGTGATATCTCTAAGTCAGCTTTGGAGCAGCCGAACTTTCCCTTAGCTAAGATAGTGTAAGTGCAAGCCCGGATTTCAAGTTTTCACTTTGGCCTGCGCCCGTGACCGTTAAGGGCGCCAAAACACTCAGCTACGGCCAAAACAGGGTCAGATAGGGAGGAGCTGGGGACTCCAAGTATGGGCCCCAGGAACTTCGACAGGCCTGCACCCGACCTGCCCTACCGGCAGCCATGGCTGTTGGGCTCATCTGGCATGCGTAGCACTCCACTGTACTGCAATATCCGTCGCTGCTCTAGCTTCCTTACCCGCCACCTCGCACTGCCTGTCTCATGGTGTACGCATGGCGCGAGCGTCCGTCGTGAGCTACGCTGGCTGATTCGCGTGCTGTGGTGAATGCACGTCATGAAACTGCTCTCGCCGCTCTCACACGTATCGATCGGTTAGGTCGACTGATCCCCATAGTTAAGATATTAGGTTACGAATTTATACCCTCAAGAAGGCTTCTGGTTTGCAGTTTTGATAGAGTTAGTCTCATTATACTCTTAAGCGCGATGGAGTCCGACAGTGCCGCCAGACGCTCGCAGCAGCTCGCCGTGTTTTCCGCGTCCGCGGAAGCCGCCGCAGTAGACGTTGCGCCCCCCGCCTCCGGGCTTGCCTCGTCTCCTCCCGCCGCCATTGTCGTCGCGGAGCCAGCTGCCGCTCAACCGCCGGTATCCGAAATACAGGCGAGTCGGGTTCTATTCCTTCTGTTGGCGTTAATCAACAAGGGCAGCGGTCCTCCTGCTAGTGGCAGCGACGCGGGATTAGTCGCAGCCCTGTTCAAGGGTGCACGGCAACTCGGCTTCGAGCGTGTGATATCTCGCCGCTCCGCCTTGTCCTGAATGTGTGCCGTCGCCTTTCTCCGCGTCCCCCCATTCACCCCCCGCTCCTCTCTGGCCACCCCCTGTAACGTCCCCCTGGGCGCGCGCGCTCGAGCAGGTTCCGGAGGAGGACGAGCGGCTCGAGCCGTGGCTAACGCACGTGTCGGTGCTCGTGCACCTCGCCACCTTCGCCATCATTGGGGTACGTCCGCCGCGCCGCGCTCGCTTTCATCCCATCCACACCGCACCGGGCCAGAACCCCTCGCTCTCTTGTCGCATCATAATCCCCACACCGCTCCCCGCGCAGTCACCTCAGTGCAGGACTCTTCCCCTCTCTTCCCCCCTCTCTCCCCCTCTCCCTGCATCCGCGGCCTCACTCCCGTGCTGTCGCTGCGTGTGTGCGTGCGAACGGCGGCGTGCGGCGGCGTGCGCAGGTGCTGATCCGGTACGGGCTGGAGGTGCTGTTCGGGCCCGAGGTGGCGCACGTCACGGACGACGAGCAGACCGTCTTCATCGACCTGCCCGCTAACATCGTGAGTCGCGCTCGCCCGTTAGCACCTACAACGCCCACCCGCTTTCACTCTCACTCTCGCACCCACTTCCCCGCACCCACCCCCCCGTCTTCCCTCCTTTCCCCCCTCACCTCGCCCTCCTCGTTTCCTCCCCCCTCCCCTCCTCCCACCCGCCCCACGGCAGGCGGGCAGTTTCATAATGGGAGTGGTGGGAGTGGCGGCGAAGCGGCACATAGCGGCGTACTCGGAGCACCTGGCGATCGGGCTGGCGACGGGGCTGTGCGGGTGCATCACCACCTTCGCGTCGTGGAACCAGCGCATGCTCGCCATCCTCGCCTCCGGCCTCTGGGTGCGCGCCCTCGCCGGCTACATCGTTGGTGCGTGCGCCCTCCCCCTCTCTGCGTGCGTTGTCACTTCGTTGCTCCTTTGTGTCTGTGCTGCTCTGTCAGTCAGTGTGCACTCTCCATTGCTCCCCATCTGCCAGCCTGCGCCAATGTTCTCCCCTATCCCCCCTCTACTTCCTCCCCCCCTCTTGTGCTGGCATGCAGGAGCGGCGCTGCCGTTCGTGTCGCTGATTGCGGGGATCGACTTTGCGGACGGCATCAAGTGGCAGATCAAGCGCGCCAACGACCGCCGCACCGCGCGCGGCAAGCCGCCCCTGCGCGCGCCACGGAGCGACCACTTCGACCGGCGGTGGGCGTCGCTGCTGCTCTTCTTCTGCCTCTCCGTCTTCCTCGCCACCGCCGCCGCCATCGGCACCGCGCTCGACGACTGGTCCTCCAAGACAAGGCGGCTGTGGTTTGCGTGCGTGGTGGCGGCGCCGGGCGCGTGGCTGCGGTGGTACCTGTCGTGGCTGAACGGCGGGACGGTGGGCAAGGGGCGGTGGTGGCAGTGGGTGCCCGTGGGCACTGTTGCTGCCAACGTGAGCGCGTCCGTGCTGGAGGCTGCTCTCTCTACTGTCGTGCTCGCTGTAAGTCGCACACAGTGTCGCATACACATGCCCGCTCACACGTGTAGCAGCACACTCGCCCTGGCAGCCCAGCCGATTCTTACATTCACGGCCCCACTCCTACCAACCCTGCATCGCCATTCTGGCTCACCCGCCCTTCTCCCCCCCACTCCCATCCTCACTTCCTCTCTCCATGCCTCCTCTGTCCCCCCCACTCCCCCCCACTCCCACCTCCACCAGTACAACAGCGAGGAGAGTGTGTTGGCGGTGGGAGCGCTACAGCTGGGGTTCCTGGGGTCACTGAGCACCGTGTCTACGCTCATGGTGGAGGTGCTCGCACTGCACAAGGCCAAGACCGGCCGCTGCTGGCGCCCCTACTTCTACCTCTACTGCATCACCATCCTCCCCTCCTTCCTCCTCGGCATGCTCATCTACTGTGTGCCCGTCTGGGTGCTCGACTACACCTCCAAATACAACCACTTGTAAAAGCGATCATGAAATACGATTTGTACACATGCCTTTTGCAATTGAATGGGTTAAATGCAGCTGTTTATAAGCTTAACTTGTCTCACTGCTATCCTAGCAGTCTCTAGACTAGAGGCACATGCTACTATGGATGCGAACCTTGAAAAGTGCACCTTAGATTGTGGCCAGACCTTGAACGGTAGTGCAGATGGGAGGGAGTGCAGAGTGGAGTACCGTACCATAGATTGTTGCACGGAGCTCTGCTGACACAAGGCACTTTCAGATAGACAATCCTTTTCCTGGCTTCTCTTCTCAGAGAGTCAGTGGGAGTGGTGGCGGCGGTGGTGGCGGCAGTGGGAGTGGTGGCGGTGGCAGTGGTGGCGGTCGGGGTGGAGCCGTCAGAGGGGAGGTTCTGGCGGTGGCCAGCGGCAGCAACAGCAGCGTCCGCGCGAGACCCCCACGCCCCAGCAGCTTCGAGAGTGGTTTGCTCAGCGTGGGGCGTCTGGGGGTAGTGTTCGCTGCTAGTACGTCATTCGCACAGGTGACCGCGCTGGTCAGACATGCAGGAAGGTTGGTCACACACAGTACCGCTGCTTCTCCCGTTTTGACGACGCCTGGCGCGCAGAATTTGGTGACGCAGCTGAGCTCCCCCGCTGGCTAGAGCTGCTTAGGAACGATGTGTATATATTTGCTTTTGACTATGATGCTATCCTTGCTGGCATGCATGCTTTGACTGTTACTGCTGAGGGTGACTGTTACCTGTGTGTGCCGCCCGACCCAGGAATAGAGGCTACTGCTCTAGGTGCTAGTGAGTCTGCTCTCTCTGGTACTACGCCTGCTGAGGCCTTGCACACCTTCACGCTTGACTCAGATGCTTCCCGCTGCTTCTTTCGCGACAGTTTCACGTCACACCACTCCCTGCACCGGTTGCAGTCTCTCTGGCTGACCCCTCAGGGGGCCCGGTTCTTGCACGTTCCTCCACTGTTCCCGTGTCCGGCGGTTCCGTCTGGATCACTGTCAAGTCCTCTCGTTCTCTACAAACTTGGTGAGTACCGCTGCCCTCCAGGATGCGATGGTCACTACCACCACTCCTGGGGGTCAGCGTGTGTCGATCTGCACGTTTGCACAGACGGGCCGTCACCTGGCCAGGTTCACCTGTCGGCCTGGGTCGAGCCTGTACACACTGATTACCGAGCCTACTCAGGTGGCTGCGTCTAGTCAGGCGTCCGCATCAGTTCAAGTAGCCGCCACCTGTTCGTGTCGTCTCCTCTCGCACAAGACTCTCCTCTGGCACCACCGCCTTGGTCACCCCTCCCTACCATGCCTCCGTGGCATGCACTTCTGCCTCCTTATCTCTGGTCTTCCCAGGTCTCTGCCTCCCCTCCCGCCCTCGCCTGCCCCGCCCTGCCTTCCTTGCGTCGAGGGGCGGCAGCACGCTGCTCCTCACTCCTCCTCGTTTCCCCGGACGTCTGCTCCCCAGCAGACTCTCCACATGGACGTGTGGGGCCCAGCCCGCGTCATTGGAGAGGGCTGCGAGCGCTACTTTCTGCTGGTTGTAGACGACTACATGTGTTACACCATGGTCTTCCCCTTGCGCAGCAAGGGGGAGGTCCCTGATGTATTGATCCCTTGGATCCACGCTGTCCGTCTCAAGCTCCGCGAGCGGTTCCGCCAGGACCTTCCTTTCCTGCGTCTGCACTCTGACAGAGGTGGTGGGTTCTCCTCCGACCTCATGCGGGACTTCTGTCGTGGAGAGGGCATTCTCCAGTCGTTCACGCGTCCGGCCTCCCCGCAGCAAAATGGGGTTGCTGAGCGCCGCATTGGCTTAGTCATGGAGGTGGCTCGTACCTCCATGGTCCATGCGGCTGCTCCCCATTTTCTATGGCCGTTTGCGGTCCGGTACGCTGCGCATCAGCTCAACCTTTGGCCCCGTTTCTCCTTGCCGGAGACCTCGCCTACACTGCGTTGGACGGGGGAGGTTGGCGATGCGTCGGTGTTTCGGGTTTGGGGCTGTCGTGCTTTTGTCCGCGATACCTCCGGGAACAAGCTCTCCTCCCGCGCCATTCCCTGTGTCTTCCTTGTCTTTCCCCCTGACGCGCCTGGCTGGCAGTTTTACCACCCCACCACGCGCCGTGTCCTGCCCTCTCAGGACGTCACGTTTGACGAGTCGGTTCCCTTTTACCGTCTCTTCCCCTACCGCACTGCCCCTCTCCCCCCCCGCGCCGCTCTTCCTCGCTCCAGGTCCCCCTCCGGTAAACCCCCTCCCCCCTCAGGGTCCTGCTCCTTCAGGTGTGTCTCAGGTAGACCCACTCCCCTTGGCTGAGCCTGTCGAGGTCATTGTCGACTCTGGTGCTGCTGGGGGTGGTGCTGCTAGGGGTGCTGCGTCTAGGGGTTCTGAGCCTGCGGGTGCGGAGCCTGGGGGTGCTGAGCCTGAGCGTGCGGAGCCTGGGGGTTCTGAGCCTGAAAGTGCGGAGCATGAGGGTGCTGAGTCTGAGGTGTCAAACATATGTTTGTATGTTATAGTTTAGGTAGGCTTTAGTGGGGTACTCACTGTGGGGTACAACCCCTTAGGTTTTCCTTTTGTACCAAACTCTCGATAGTCCAACCACCTTGCCTAAGATTCTAACATGGCATCTAGAGCATAGGTCCTTAGGACCTAGGATTAGGGCCCAGTGCCTATTTCACCTCACTAAAACGTACCTGCCTTGCCCAGTGCCCGCACGCGCCTCGGTTGCACGCGCGTGGCCCTCTTTTTTTTTTCCCGCGCGCGCCTCTTTAGCAGCCCGCGCGCCTCGTTTAGGCCCCGCCTGCGCAGCCCGTTTCGGCCCCGCCCGTACGCCCCTTACGCCGCCCGCGCGTAGCCTGCTTAGGCCACGCCCGCGCAGCCCGTCGCCGCATGCAGCACGCAGCCGCGCGCGCTGCCAGTCGCCACGCGCAGCCAGGAGCCGCGCGCAGCCCGTCGCCACGCGCAGCCAGGACCCGCGTGCAGCACGTCGCCGCGCGCAGCCAGCAGCCGCGCGTGCCCTGCTCGTGTGCCTGCCTGTGCGGCTCGCTGCTGCCGAGCCCGCTGCCCTAGAATTGCACGGCCTGCTACTGTCTAGAGCGCCACCTTAGGTGCTCGAGTGCGGCAAGCTACTGCCCAGCACGTTGCCTGTGCTGCCTCCTGTCTACTGCGTGCTGTCTCTGTCTTTGCCTACGGCCTACTGTCTCCTGCCCCCTGTCTGTTGCCTGCTTCCTGCTGCCTGCTGCCGTTATGACGACGCCTAATGTTCTCGCGTTCGAGCCCGACGGTCGCCCCATAGAGTTCGCTGTGTGGCTCGACGACCTGCAACTGTTCCTTCTGACTGATGCCAAAGAGGGTGTCTCACTGTTCGATTACGTGTCTGGCACTGCCGTTGCCCCTGCTGCCGATGCTCCTGCTCTCGAACGCTCACCGTGGCAGACTCGCGATGCTGCAGCACGCCTAGCTATTAGGAACCATCTGCCGATTCCTGAGCGTGCTCATTTCAGCCAGCACAAAACTGCTAAGATACTGTACGACGCTCTAGTTACGCGCTACTCCTCCCCGGCCACTGCAGCCATATGTCGGCTCATGCTACCCTACCTGTTCCCCGACCTTTCCTCGTTCACCACTGCTGAGGACCTCATTTCTCACCTGCGCGCTACTGACACTCACTTTCGTGCCGCCCTTTCAGCCGAGTTCTGCGCCGCAAACCCCCCCCCCCCCCCCCCCCCCCCCCCCGATGTACTTCACTCTCTATTTCCTCGTCACCCGCCTCCCTGACACTCTTAGCTCTGTCAGGGACCACTTCCTAGCGCTAGACCCCACCACTCTCACTGTCGACGACTTCGAGAAGCACCTCCTCGCAGCAGAGAAGAACATCCTCGCTGTAGGTGCTGCTCGTGGCACTCCTCGATCTCCCCTCTTTGAGGGGTGCTCCCCCTCCCCTCTCACCCCGTCCTACGCCTCCGCAGCTGCTGCTCACGACTACCTTGGTGCTGAGGAGGTCGGAGCTGCTTCCGCTCCTAGTGGGAAGAGTCGCAGCGGTAGGGGCGGCAGGGGTGGCAGGGGCGGTGGGGGTGGCAGTGGAGGTGGCGGTGGTGCAGGCGGCGGGGGAGGTGGAGGTGGTGGAGGTGGTCGTGGGGGTGGAGGCGGTGGAGGTGGTGGTGGGGGCGGCGGAGGCACTGGGAGCGGTGGAGGGGGCAGCAGCGGCGGTGGGGGAGGAGGGAGCGGTGGTGGGAGTGGTGGTCAGGGCCAGTAGCAGCCGCAGCAGCAGCAGCAGCAGCATCAGCGTCAGCGCCAGACCCCCACTTCCCAGCAGCTTCTTGACTGGTATGCCGGGCGTGGGGGTTCTGGGGGTCCTGGTCGCTGCCCCTATATCATCCGCACAGGTCCCCGCGCTGGTCGCCAGTGCACAGGTTTTCACACTGAGCAGCGCTGCTTCGCTCGGCTTAGCGACGCCTGGCGCGCCAAGTTTCCTGATGCTCCTGAGTTCCCCAACTGGGCAGACTTGCTTAGGCGTGATGTACCTGTCTTTGATCTTGACTATGAGGCA